TTTAGTAAACAAACCCTGCTGACGACCTGGGTTGCTCTTGAGCAACCGACGGTCACAAGCCGGAGCAGATGGTACAGGCAGTTCAGCGTTCGGGAACAAAGCTAGGAAAACACGGCCCCTTTCCAGCCTCTCACTGCCCTGCAAAAACACCCCGAGCCCCCGCTTATCGCGGGAGGCTGGGGAGGAGGTCAGGCTGGCAGGGCTCGAGGAGCTGGCTGTAAATAACTGGCTGGGAAGGATGACTTCTGAAATCCCTTGGCTGGTTGTTGCACGGGTGTTTTGAAAGCCAGCCTGGTGCTACCATCCGCTGCCGGCTGGGCTAACGCGGGAGGCACCCCCTGGGGGGGGGGCTCCTGAAATCCCTTGGCTGGTTGTTGCACGGGTGTTTTGAAAGCCAGCCTGGTGTTACCATCCGCTGCCGGCTGGTCTAACGCGGCAGACACCCACTGGTGGGGGTGCTGGGTGGGTGCGATGCTCAGCCACCCCGTCCCGGGGGTATCGTGTCCCACCCCCAGCCCGGTGGCGGGGAGAAGCCCTTTGAGGAGGGCAGGGGAGGACAGGCTGCTCTATACGTTCCACATAGCTTGGCATTTCCTTTTAGGGTCCAACCCAAATTCCAGGGATGTTTTCCATTGATTTTGGGTGGTCACTGGAGTTGGTCCTTGCTGGGAGAGAGCAGCACATCCCTGCATGCTGTCCCCCTTCTCCGGTTGGGGAGCTTCCCGCAGCCTCCAGCCCACCCCGAAAACCCATCTCCCACCTTGGGGCCGAGGGGGTGCTCGGATGGAGATGGGCATTTGGGGGATGTGACACTGGCCATGTTTTGAGCCAGGTTTGGGAGGCTCCGAACCCGGTGTCCCCATGCTGATGACCTGCTGTGCGTGGCAGGAGGAGGACTGGGGATTTCATCCCGGCACGGGAACGCTCAGTTCAGCTTTCCCAGAAAGCCGCGGCCTCCACGGTCCCCACAGCATCAGGGCTGCACTATCCCTGCTCTGGAGAAAAATCCCTGGTTGGGTTTGGGGTGTTTCAGCCCCGTTCACTGCCCAAAGTGTTAATGCGAGCGTGTTCACAGGCAGCTCCATGTGCTGCCCAGCCAGAGGTGCTTGGGTGGCTGGAGGGAAACATCCACCCGATGTCCTCCTGGAGACGCCTGACCATGCACGGAAAAGCCCTTGAAATGCAGCTGCCTTAGTGGGGGGATGAGTTAGTTAATGTACGTGCAGAGATGGGGACAGATATTAGTGGCTATAATTGCTAGGACATCTGAGGCACCTTGCTTAAGCCATGCGTGATACGTCTTGGAAGCGCTGTTACATTCCCAATAGCTGCAAGAGACCCCCGGTGCCGGCTGTGTCCCACCACTTCAGACCACAAAGTGATGGGGACAGTGCCAAAAGTTTGGGTGGGGAGTGGGAGAGACTGAGGATGTGCCTGGTCCGTGCCAGCAGGATCGGCAGCGGGGTCAGAAACCTTTTCCCTGGACTATTCCTCGTGCCGCCGGCGCCGTGGCATCGGTGCCACACGTGCCCTCCTCCGCTCCGGCACGGCAGCGTTGCTTGGGAGCGCAGGATCCGCTCAGGCGCCCACGGCATTGGGTGGTGACCGGCGGGGAGGCCAGCCTGGGCTGGGGACGGGTGCAGGGACATAGAGGGGTGCGGGGCGGCTGTGCGGCAGCGGGGACATCGCCTCTCTCTTGGCTCTGCCCGCGGGAAATGGCTCTGGGCGCGCGCCGTTGCCATGCGCACGCTGAAAGGCGGGGGGGGGAAGGCGGGGCCCGGGGAAGTT